TTAGGACGCCTGGGTAGAAACCCAATTGCATGACATAGCAAAATTATTACTGGACCGTCACTCCTAGGTCTGAACTGTGTGTGAAGCCCCCTGGTAGCTTTTTAGCCTCAGGAAGGTAAAGGGACCAATTCCTCTGAAACTCGGTTACTCATCAGAGAAATGGGGGCGGGGCATGATCCAAGCCAGTCTCTTGCAGCTGCCCTGTCCTTGGGTTCAGGGAGTCGCTCTAGAAACCTTTGTAACAGCTCTGGTTGGGGCAACTCACTCGCAAACTCGGGGACCCGTAGGTCATCTACCTCCCTCCCCACTCACACCCTCCGTTTCTTCACATCAACTGCCTCTCTCTGCGTTACCTTTTTTCTTCAGGTTTTCCTCATTCCCTCAGATTCCCTCTCTTGCTTTTCCTCTGACATTTCCCCTACCCCCTCCCTCAAAAGTCCCTCCGTTTTTCTCCTCTTCCTTTATTCCTCTCTTCCATACAAAGTGAATCTGGAGGCTTAATTTCCTCTTTTCTTCCCTCCCTGTGATTGGTTTCCTCTCCTCTTTGAGCTGACTCGTGCTTCTTCACTGTCTCCCTCCGCTCCTCGGAGTTCTTGCTCCTCAACTCCCCCGCCCTAGCCCTCTGGGAATCGTGTGCCTCAATTTCCCGACTTTCCCTCTCAACCCCCACGCGACTACCCGCCTTGTCCCCAAGATGGCGCCCGCAGCCTCACTCCGCCGCCTGACGTCATCACGCTGCCCCTCCTTCTGAGCCGTCCAGTGGAGTCGACTTGGAGATGGAGGAGGAGCAGCCTCCAGGCGTAAGGGGCGGGCACTATCAACCCGGGACCAGCCGGAGAGGAAAGGTCGCTACGGGATTGGTTGGGCGCTGAAGGGATCCAGATGCTCCATACTATTGGTCCAAGGCTCGGAGACGTAAGTGCCTATTGGCCAAACGGCAGGGGCTAGACGGACGATGATTGGGTGCGTTTGGACGTCGCACGGCGGCCGAGGAGGAAGGTGGGAGGAGCGTTGCTGAGGGCGTTTGGGGGCGAGAG